AGCCCAGAATGCCTCAAATGTTATGTTTGGTCGTCTAGAACACAGAAATTTCGCGGGGGCATGCCCCGGACCCCCTACGACAGTGTTGTCTCAATTGGCCCAACTTTCGGCCCCCCTTCCGGCCCCCCCTTTTGGACATTTCTGGATCCGCCCCTGGGGGGAGCTTTACCTGTCAGATTGGGGAGGGGGGGCCTAAGCCTTCCCATCGCCGACGCCGCCACTGATTATAGCCCGGTCTGATTTTAAACAAAAATATATTTCAGCACGCTTTTCACAAGAATCAATGGTTCAAGGTTCCAAGGTTTGCAAAAGTTTATTCATAATTCATTCGTAGGTTTCAGAATTGAGCATTATCGTATGCATTAAGCCTGGAGTCCATAAAATCGCTTTCGGCGACGCTGATTGGTCGGTCGAATATAGGGGAGAATTCTCGATTGCGTCGGAGACATCTACGGTACGCAGTTATTGCAATGAAAACACTGTAGCAATAATCAATAATGTAGCGTTTTATGGAAACCAGGCTTCAAATATCAATCCAAGATCCCTGGATTTCGAACATGTATAATCAGTTTGGATGTATTATCATGACTTAGTTCATGGTCACTACAGGCAGCTAACTCAGCCGCTCTCCGTACCTACTGCAATTTAGGGTTGTTTTTCTTGATGTTTCCTTGTTTGGTGTAATCGTGTTTGCGTATTGTTTCGAATGTTGATTATTTGCAGTGTTTTGGTCTCGTTTTGCGGGTTATTAAACGTTTCATTTTACAGTAAATTAAGGTAGAAAATGCTGAACATCCTAGGCCGTGTTGCAACATCATTAGCATGGAATGTTCACACAGCAATGCGACCGTACACAGGTGGAGCTATTATCGTCAAAAGCACAACGCGAAGCAGAAAACGTTGGAGAAAGAGGGGAAACCGAGGTGGAACAAGACGTAGAATACCCGTGCTTATTTCCTGTCGTAACAAGTTCATAGCTAAAAAAATGGAAGGACCAACTTCTAGGCAAAGATGTTTAATCAGTTTGAGTATTTCACAAATCGTCAATAATCTTAGCAGTGGAAAGCATATACCAAGTAGGCCTAGGCAGACTAAGTCCAGTCAGGGACCCAAAGAACGTTTGACGTCGCAATTTCCTGTCATCATGCTAACTAACCCCTGGTCCACCCTAAATAAAATAGACGAAATTAGTGTTTTTCTGAAGGAAAAATATGTGGATATTGGGATTTTTAGCGAGTCTTGGATCAACAAGCAAAATGAACACACGGTATGTGTTGAGGGTTATACATTATTTTATGAAGGGAGAACGAATAGAAATGGTGGTGGAGTAGCAGCGCTAGTTAAAGATGGTATTGTAGCTACTAAGGTGAACTATTTACCAGTCCCTGAGGAGTTAGAGTGTATGTGGCTTCAAATTAAGTTAAAAAGAACACCCCGAGAATTTTCTGCTATATTTATTTGTGTTGTGTACCACAGTCCTGGCCAATCTGTTAATTCTCACTTTGTACTCATCCAGTACCTCCGCGAATCGGTGGACATTATTAGAGCTAGATCACCAAGAGCTGGACTCATTATATGTGGCGATTTTAACGAAGTCAGGCATAAGATAGGACGCTTATGTTCAGCAACAGGGTTAAAACAGATTGTAAAACAACCCACAAGAGGAACTAATACTTTAGATTTAATTGTCACCAACCTTGTCAATTATTTTGAAGAGCCAATAGTTTTTGCTCCGTTTGGATTTAGCGATCACGCAACAATATGTTGGAAACCAAAGCCATCGTTCATCGGCATGAAAGGAAGCGTTGTAACTAAATCATTCAGACCGTTTAGTGAATCTAATGTAAACGCATTTGGCAAGTGGATTACTAATAAAGAGTGGCATGAGGTTACTAATGCGAACGATGTAAATTTAAAATTAAATATTTTTGAACGGGAATTAAATCACGCATACGAACATTTTTTCCCACTACGAACAATTCGTGTACACTCAACAGACCAGCCCTGGATTACGCCTAAAATAAAAACAAAAATTAAAGAAAGACAATTAGCATATCACAAGTATGGACAGTCTTCGAATATTTACCGCAAGTATAGAAATATCGTCAAATGGGAAATTAAACAAGCCAAGATTAAATATTATAAATATGAAGTAGCGCATTTACTAACTTCCAACTCAAGGCAATGGTTTGAACAAATCGGTAAAATGTGTGGAACTAGTAAAAATAAAAATGATTCATTAAATCTGAACATTGATGAATCAGATCCTGAGAAAATTCGCGAAGTGATTAACTCGAAATTATCTGAGATTTGCCAACATTTTGAATCGTTACAAATAAATAGTTTATCGACGTATCTTCCATATAAATCGCCTCCACCTACGTTAACGTTTTGGGAGGTGTACTACCGATTAAAGAAACTGAATTGCAATAAAGCTGCAGCTCCAGGCGATCTTCCTGTACGGTTGATAAAAACTTTCGCGTTCGAATTAGCCGTACCCTTGTTGAACATATTTAATAAATCACTCGCAATTGGAAAGGTACCGACAAGATGGAAGGAGGCCACTATTACACCAATTCCTAAGGAGAAGGGTACAATAACCCTTAACCAGATTCGCCCTATTTCCATCACACCCATTTTCATCCGAGTACTTGAAGATGTTGTTATGAATTTTTTACGTCCAAAAATTACCCCATTTATTGACGAAAGACAATTTGGAAATCGCAAAAATTCCTCTGTAAACCATTACCTTACTAGCTTAATGCATTTCATCCATAGTGGTTTGGACTTGCCAAACAATATTGCTACTCTGGTAGCGATTGATTATAAAAAAGCATTCGATTTAATAGACCACACAATTGCTGTGAACAAACTGATTGATATTGGAGCACCACGTGAATTAATCCCATGGATATGTGATTTTATTTCGGAAAGGAAACAACGTGTTTCATATAACGGCGGTTTCTCTGAATGGCAAGGAATAACCTGTGGCGTACCGCAAGGTACAAAATTGGGTCCAATCATCTTTCAAGTTTTAGTTAATGACTCTCTCAGCGGTTATAATAACCGCTGGAAATACATGGACGATTTAACCTTATGTGAGGTATATAAGAAAAATGAAGCGCCTAGTCTACAAAATCAGTTAAATGAGCTCGCGCGTTGGTCATCTGAAAATAAAATGTTAATGCTTTATATTTATCTATTTTTGTCTTTTTTTAAACTTCGTATTATTTGTATTATTATCAGGAAAACGAATTTTACTTGTAAGGACCTTTCTATAAGTGACAATAAAAGAATCTTGTATCCTTATGTATAGATCATAAACATAATTAAATTCATAAATTTTGTGATATTACTAACATTATATGCTTACACTGATGCAGATATATTTTATTTTATTAAATGAATAACAGAGGGCAGCCTCTATTGCCTGATATTAATGTTCAGAAGAGTATTTTTTAAATATTATTGTTATTGCCTAACATATTTCATTGTTTTATACTAACTTGAACTGATTGATATCAGAGTATAATCACAATCATTATTATTATTATTATTACTTTAAAAAACAATTGTTAATACCATTCAGGGTATCTACATCTCCACTGTACTTATACATATACTTGTCTAAATGTTTCAACAATTACTAAATAGTGGTGTAATAAAATAAATCAAGTACATTACTGTAATTACAATTCAATTCAACTTTTATTTCTGAATTTTCTATCCATATACACAAGAGAAATACAACTTCAACTAGAGTACATCAATGCCATACTTAAAAACGAGAAACTGATTGCATGAAAGGCAGAATCAGATCCAGATATGATAATACTCCTTATGATAAAACTAAATGATCTAGCAGGAGTAACCATACATTGGCTCAGAAGATTGTCATAGTACTCCAAGTCAATACCAGCCAGCAATAGCCACACACCCGTGTTTGACACCTTGGCGCTATCAGATAGGACTAGATATATATTGGATCTTCATTAAATTTTAGCCCATATATTTGCTGTTTTTTACCATTGACATTTTTCCCATTTGCATTGATTTAATATTTTTCATCTAATTTCTTGCATTACTTAGATCATTTTAGAACAGCTAACGACTGAACATACTGTATACTGTATTCCATGCAGCTCAAATGCTCCTATTATGAATTGTAAACCTGTATAATCTGTATTTCTAGCTGTATTTCTAGCACAAACATTTCATGTACAATGACTAGCAGTATTACAATTAGCAGTTTAGATCGTAGTCCGAAGAAGACTTATTTCCAGTGGCTTCCTTCTGGTAGTGATTGGGCAGTACCCCAGGAAACAAATCTCCTATTCTTTTCTGAAGAGTGTACTGCAATCTTCAATGTGCACATGGGCCATATTGTGCACAGGACCAACAGATAATGCCTCATTCAAAAGGAAACCCGCTACCGAAACTTGCATTTCAGTCCTACAGCAGAAACACTATGGAAAGCAGCGTTGGGAATTGAGCTGGAGAGAACCAAAAGATCTCCACAGTTTAGCACACACACGGTGGCTACCAACAGTTAAGCTGACTGAGCTGATCTGCTCTCTAAATCTTTATGCAGTCACTGCTTAATAATCCCACTCTTTATAGAATACATATTTAATACCGGGTCATGGCAACAAGCCGAACGTCTAACATGCAGAACTTTGAGCGGCACGTTGGACATGGTGATTTACTCGACATCCAGTTCTGTGGACTGTCTTGACTTTGTCGGCTGGCAAACCATTTGCTCATGCACGTTAAACACCACATTGGTCGGCAGTTACAGGACACGCAGTCGCCTACATTATTGTCATCGCAAAGCTTAGTCAACTTGATATTGGCTGGAACCTGCATACATCCTATACAACTATCAGGTTCCTGGAAAAAAAAGACAGACATATAAGGAAATATATATTATTCATTCATCAAACATAAGTATAGGGCACTTTTCATGATGATTCATGCTCAAATAGTATGTGTTTCAGCTCTAGATATGCACCCATAGGGGATCCCACAGGGGTCCTAACCAAGGGGCTGACTAGATCATCGGTCAGGATCTTCTGGAAGAAAAATCCTTGGTAGGGTTAATTTATTTGAATATGCAAATAAATATTTGGTACGACGACATTGTTGTAGTGTCTGACAATGGGGATTCCAGGTCTATCTGCCAGGGGAAATTCCCCTCCTCCCTCTGCTGTCGCTACCACTGGTCAGCTCTGAAGGTCAATGATTGCATAATACCAGTAGCAGATCCACTGGAAGGAGGGGGAATAGGGGAATGTTTCCTGATTTGACTTCCGACAAAATATGAAGAAAATGTGAAAAGAAGACATTCATTAATTAAAAGATAAAGTTTTATAATTATGTATGGCCTGTGTGATTATCAAATTTAAACAAAAATACACTGACCTGTGATCCAGCTGGTAATCGGTAAACCCCGTTTGAAACAACCTGTTGTCGAAAGGCTTCTGCGAATCTTTCTGTTATTGTTTCTTGTATAATGATATTGCGAACATTTATAATTTGCGTTCTTAATTTCGCTTTGAAATCTCCATATTCTGTAGCATTCATTCTGATTAATGAATATATATAAAGAAAGTCAGCAAAAATTATTTTTTATTATTTTTAATATACAATCCTATTTTTAATGAATTTTTATCACAGACAGTATATCTTACATTAATAACATTGATTCTGATTATGGTACGGTAATGCAATATTTAATAATGATAATAATAAATGTTTAGTCCAAGTTACAGTAATAAAATTAAATTACTGAAATTTATAAGTACTTTATAATATAGATGCAGTAACAAAAGACATGCACATGTTACTGATATTAATTTTAGCATGTGCATTATGTTCAACAAACTATTCATTCAACAAACTTTACCTTATGGTAAACTGTGAAATATTTGGATTCACACTGATCACATTGAGCGAAATGTACTGTACACCAACCGTACTCTCATCAGTGAAGTTAAAATTCTGTGATTCTATTGTATTCAAATGAACATCATCCTGCCTAGCTATATCCATCAAGTATGTTGATGTCTGCAAAATCCATGAATCTGTCACGATTACTCTCCTCCCTGGTGGTCCAGTTTGAAATTTATCAATCCTTCTAAATTCTACATCTATTATTGCTGCTACTGACTGCCACGAATCACCATGGTAACTGGCTCTCAATGCTATTGGGTGTTTTTTCCAGTCATTTTGTGACCAGTAGTAAGAGAGAATCCCAGAAATTAGTGGAAGAAGAATTGAGACAGTGATTGATATCTGCCAAAATAGTTGCAATTTCCAAGGTTGCAGCAAATCAGAATTTGAAAAACAGAAAGCATACCCAAGTAAATAACCTGCAAATAAGGGAAAAAATGTTTTAGATTTTCTATGAATATAATTGAAATTTATTCTTGAATAAATTAATAAAATAGATTAATATATTATATCATAAATTATAGTACTGTACGACTGGCTACATTAAAAACATATAAATATTAAAATATTATAATATATATAATTATATCCTGCATTGGATCTGCAATTAATATCGTAGAGTTATCCGATGACAGAGGGGTGCACGACTGTCCGACGCTCGGATCCCACTGGCTCCGCAACTTCCCTGGGTGGTGGAGCAAGTGCAATAAACACCTTGTAGGGGATTTCCCTATACGTCATCAGCAAACAACTGGTGGGAATCTACTACAACACAAAAGACTGTGGTATGCTACACTTCTGTTGTACTCAGTAATAACAGGGAGGTAAAATTAAAGCAATAATAAAAGCAATGCCATTCAAAGTAGCAATAAACATTGTATTAAAAACGAAAAATAATTACCTAGAGGAAGAAACGAGTGGAATAAGATTGTAGCTGTCGATCTCTTGATGTGATATCTTACAAAATCAATGTCTTCGCTACCCAACCAATCGGAAAAGATATTTTGAATTGTCAATCCCGCAGCACGGAATTCATTCGGAGGGACAACTAAACATACACTTATTAGCATATATGCAATAGTATAAATGACCTCCTCTGATGCCATAATAAATAATATACTAGTACTTCTGACTTCAATTTAGGACACGTCCTACATTACGTAAGAATATACCAGAACATAGGCGAAGCCCTCCGTTCACAATGCGGTCACAGAGTATGCGCACTACGTTCACAGATATTTTTTTGAAATAATGCTTTCCGATCACATGCGTGCGTTCGTAGTTTATTGTGTGAAACATTAGGACCCATGTTATTTTCATATAATACGATAACATTCAGATATGGCTGTAAAATCTTTTATAAACTTATTTCGCCACGTATCTTTACTTGAACACGTCATGGCAAAATACCGACATTTTTATGACCTTTACCTTTAATTAAATATATTATAATAGTGAACACAAAAATACAAATTAACATATTTAAAAAAATTAGTATATTTACCAAATAAATTTATGACAGAGTATTAATTATTATTCTTGATTTTATATAATTATTTAATTACTTAATATACATTTAATTTATCCTAAATATTCATTAACAGAGAGGTTACCCTTACCTCTAGACGTAAACACCACTATCGGAAGATCAAAACACACCAATCGTTCAACAATCGGAGTTTTACTACAAGTTACGATGTAATTCGTTTGGATTAAAACCGGTTACTTATCCTAATTTAATGGATAAGCGGGAGTTTAAATCAATGTATTCAAACGTCTGTGCTTTATTGGCTTCCGTTGTGCTTGTAGCAGCTATTAAACCCAACTTTAGTGATGTAGTTGCTGACCACCACCAGGCTCAGGGTGAACCACAAGTTACAGTAGGTTCGTTCTCATCGAGGGGTGGTGGTGGAACGTCGCCACCTTTCATGTCAGGGAGTGCTGATGGTGGAGCTTCGCCTACGCCGCCGAGTTCTCCCAACTATCAAACATGTTCATCTTCGACTGCATATGCGGGGTACAGTAATATTTTTAATTAAAATACACATTCGTTCATACCCATCATAGTTTAACATCTATAGACTATAATTTATAAGAATAGGAGACTATATAATTAATATTATTAAGAATTGATTGATTAAACAAGTATTAAAATTGCATTGTTGTCGGAACAATACCCATAGCGTTTTTGTTTTGGTAGCAAGTCAAAATGGCATTGGCAATGACCAAAACAGCATTAATCAAAACGACAATGAACCAAAATTGGTCACAGTTTATAATTTTCTGAATCCTTTTGAAATTGTCTTGATTGGCAAATCGAATATTGCCTTGGGCTCTTTTTCCCAAAGCCTTTTAATGTATAATCGCAGTTTTAATTTTTTAATTTTTACACATCTATGATGAATTAGTTATTTAGACGCTTCATTTTGTCTATATTTTAAAGTGCTATTTATTATTATTATTTGCATTTTTTACTTTTATGACATAAATTGTTTAGCCTCATTTTGTGTGCATTTTGAAGTTTTACTTTCATTTAAATGTTTACTGCTTTTATATTGTGATTCTTCCGATCTTTTTATTATAGAATTTGTATGTTACAGTATATTATTGTTGTTGTTATTATTATTATTATTATTAATAATATTGCATTATTTACTTTTAAATTTAGCATCATTTTTACCGTATTTAATCGTGTACACTTTCATGTTTATAATTGGTTGCTGTTTTGGTTTATAACCGTTTCGACTTCGGATTATTGCCATTTTGGTCTTGCTGTTTTGACTTATTGCAGTTTTGGTTTATTGCCGTTTTACCAGAAAGCCTTTTTCTAATTGATATTCAAACAAAGTATAAAATATAGACAATCAAATTAAATTTAAAAACCTTAGCTTTAAATTTATACTGAAAGGTCCTAATAATTATTTTTTTTAATAATTTTGGTTTTTTCTTTAATTGTCTAAAAACTTTCTTTTTTATTCAATATTCAAACAAAAAAGAAGGCATAAAAACATACACAATCACATTGAACTTAACCACATTTTGAAATGTGTATCTTAATACAATTTTGACCAAATTTTTTAGCCACTTTTGACTAATTTTCTATAATATTAGGCCTGTAGTCTTATTCTAAAAAGAAAACAAAAAATTGGGCCTACATCACATCATTTCTATTAATTATTAATTTTCCTGCATTTTCAGTCTTGTGTTAATTTTTCTGAAAAGAACGAAATAAAGAGATCATGCTTTTGCTTCAAGAAATAATTCAAATTTGCTGTAGGAACATTATATTTGTACACAAGGGTAATAGGAGCCACCCTGGATAAATTATTAAAATTAATATTGATATAGAAAGGATACTAAATGATTACAATATTTCTTTGTGTTTTTATTGACAATTATTTCTATTCAGCACTTTGGATGCCTGATTTGTACACAAGGGTTATGAAACCCTAGATAAATTATTAAAATCAATATTGATACAGTAATATAAATGATGTTAAATTATTATAAAATTTCTTTGTTTTTTTATAGACAATTATATTTATTCAGTACTTTGGATGGCCAGATTAGTGCAATAGGGAGAAAAGGCAATCTTCATTGGAGTGTTAACACCAACCCTGGTCCCCTCATATCATCTAGTATACAAAACCTACAGGTACTATACTAAGTTTGCTTTTAACGTATCAGAAATATTACTCATATTTCATTTTGCTGTCGGTTGTTTGTTTTTAATTTATTTTTCATTTTGTCATTATTCCAAATTTGGAATTAGAAATTCAACTGGGCTTGTTTTGTTGTAATATAATAATATTTTGTTTATTACTCTATATTGATATTAATTATTGCTATTAAAACTGTTGATTAAGTTTACATAAGATTAAACGATAAACATCACCATCAGTACTTCAATTATTATAGCATTGTGTTCCGGTATAAACACTATTGTATGCAGGTATAAGAATGTTTTCCAATTAATTAAAGTTGTTATTGAGTTTAAGCTTTATCACCTTCAGTAACTTTAAGATTAAAATAGTATTATAGTAAATGTGAAATAGTATAATAGATCAATTTTGTAAATTAGACCCCAATGGAAATAACCCTTCAGGCTTTATTTGGTTATCCGTGAAAATCCCAATATGCTTTCTATTTTGATGTTATTTTTTTTTTGGTCTTTTTTTTTTTTTTTTTTGGTCTGTTGTTTCCTATTCTTGGTCTGTTATTTCCTATTCTTTACCAATATTTTGATGTAATTGTTTGTGCAATGATTTTCAGAATAAACTCTAATCAAATCAAGATCAGTACATTTTTAAACACAGAATACAGATACAGACACAGATATTCAGTATTGCCTTAACATTGATTGTGAGATTTGCTTTCCTTATTACAGTACTGTACATAATAATGGGCTTATTTGCAAGTAAGATTATTAGAAACACAAGGTACTGTAGTAATAGTGATATTCACAACAAACTTTCTACCTTTCTTCTTTATCCATTTACAGTTCTCCAATAATGATGGGCATTACAGGATAGTTCCTATGCTAGATGGTAACTTGTTTAAATGGAATGGTGAATGTCTTGAGGGGGTACCTTTCAATGCCGAGAGCCTACTAAGTGCATCATTCAAGCTCAGTGAGGATATCACGGTTATTGGGGGCAAAGAGAAAACTACTTACGGTATAAATGCACAAACAGGCAAGGTAAGCATTGCAAAAATTCCAGAAGAAGTGAATATATTGCGTGTGCCCCTCATCCCAAATTTGACTGGTAAATTGCCAAAAAAGTGTTAAAAATAAAAAATTGCATTTCTACCAGAGGATGTAGACTGGTTTTGGCTGGGGGGGAACCATACAAAGTATCCTCTTGATTTGTCCCTGTGTCATGTTCAAAATTTGTGACAGTAAAAAAGTATTGTCACTTAAAGGAAGAACAGTGATGCATTCACTATTGGCAATCCTTTGCTCATGTGTCTAAAATATATGAACAACCAGAAGCCTGATTAATATCCTGAAACAATGTTCCAGTCTCTTTAATTATTGGAAAAGTAATTTAAAATAATTTTATGTATTCTCATTTTTTAACCATTTAAAAATGTAATGCAGTAGTTTTGGAGAATATTTTTCCCCTTAAACTACTTTTAATACAGTAACATTCAAATGGACTATAAACTATATTTTACATTGAAAATAAAACATTGAACAAAGGATGGAATGAAATACTTATATTCCATTTTGGAATTTCCAGGTTGTTTTTAATATGTTGGTAATTTACTTGTAGCTATTTTTGAGTGATGGGAATTCCAGTACATCGTTATTGAGAGTTATGTATTATAGTGTATTCATTTTCTGTAGTACGTTCCACACCTTGTCAATTTAACAATTTGGTATTAAAACATACAAATGAAAATATATTTGACAATTTAATAGAATATTATTATATATTATACAGAATATGTAAATTTTAAAATGTTGTTTGTTTTATCAACTTAGCAACAAATTCAGTAATGCTTTGCACTTATTGTTAAAAATCCCATCAAACTTTATATTAGTTCTTAATATTGTTTGCAGTTAAGTATTACGTTTTTTTACTTTAGGTGCGCTACACATGCTCGTCATTTGGATGCCAGGTGATTGGGAATGATGGTGATCAGGTGACAGATGACGAAGACTTGATTGTTGTAGAAAGGAAACAGCACACGATCAGAGCTGTGGAACAAAGAACAGGAATTGAAAGGTATGCTGCCATCAGTGTTCGACCAAGAATGTTGAAGGTTTATTCTGTTTAATTTCATTTTTATTTATTTATTCGATCAAAAACATTACAAAAAATCAGTACAAACAATTAAGACAAAAGGTCAGGAAAATTAAAGCGACCAAAGTCACTATGATATCAAATGTTTCTTAACCCTTTGAAGTCGCGGTCCGTATGATACGGACCAATTTACTGTCGCAGGAAGTTTCTCCATGAGAAATGCCTTATATCATAAACTTTGAAGGCTGATTTCTCATTTTGTTCTTTAAACAGCTGTATGTTTAAACGCTTGTAACTATATAAGGAAATGTCAGATTTGAATGATTTTTTACCATTATATAGCTATTTTTTTACTCTTTAACATCAATTTTTGTGACGAGTGACTGGTTTGGCTTGTCTTTGCCACAATTTACTACTAACATTAGTATTTTAGGATTATTTGCATGGTGGGACTGATGAATAAGATCAAATGGCTCCAGGACCAAATGTTATCTTTACACTATTATAGCGAAACAGTAGAACATTTAGTGGTTTTGAGCAAGCAAAAATATGAAATTTATGCATTAAAATCGTGATATGCAAAAAAAAAATGCCTCCGGGTTAAAGGTCAGTGCCTCTGAATGCCGGTCGCATGGTCGCACACTTTTTCCAGCCCTGCCTATGTTATATATGCCACTGATCATATTTTTTTTAACAGGTGGAATTTCAGTGTCGGTCAACATGACTTGAGCTTCTTGGAGGGCAACTTTTTGTATAACAGTGACATACACATGGACAATGGCAATATTTGTGGCGAGGGTATGCAACAGGAAATAGCCTACGACGACCCTATCTTACAAATCCAAGTATCTACTGGCCGAGTCTATGCATTCAGTCGCAGTGACCCAAGTGAATTGCTATGGAGTCATGAGGTATTTAATGTCAATAAAATATAGTTATTATTGCTGCATTGTCATGACATACTGTATGCCCCTCCTTCGGTCGTAGATTCTTTCATTTTTTAAAGTTATTATGGTTGTCATTACTAGTATGACAAATTAATCTTTGTTACAAACTGCCACAGTAATAAAATCTCTTGCCAATAAAAATTACATTAAAGAAGTAATTTTAGTAGAATTTTAGTTTACCTAATTTAAAAGATGTAGTTGACGTTTACAGTGTTTTGTCTTGCCACAGTTTCCAAGTGCAATAGCCCAGGCCTGGACATTACAAGATGGTGAGATTGAGCTGATAAATTTGTTTGATGGTACTCACATACCAGCCATTGCATCAGAACATAGTACTTTCCTGCCACCTCAGGTCCAGCCTCAGCCAATGATGTACCTTGGTAAGTTACTTAACATGATGTCTAGCAAACTGTTAAGCAATACCCATACATTTGTATTGAATTGAAGGCCCATTTATTACACTTGCTAGTACTTTCCATAAGTGTAAATGCACAAACTTCAAATTTCTTGCCTCAACAATAGGGTCTGAAACTGCAGATCCCCCTCTGCATGAATCTGATCCTCGCAGGAGTGGCATTTGGATTTGACTGTTGGGGGGGGGGGGGGGCGATGTTCCTAACCGGTGGACATCTCCTACGAGAGGAGAGTGGGTGTGGTTGGGCATCGCTCAGTATCTTTCTAAAGAATCCCAGCTCTCCCCGATGAGACGGGGAGGGGGGCATGGTGCAACACCTGGACCCTTGTATACCAACTCAACCCAAGTCACCAACTTACTCTCAAGTGAGATGTAGAGTAACTGATGTGAGATCTTGGGTGACTTGCTAGTCTACCAATTTTGGTGACCAAAGGACTACACCTTCAGGCAACTAGAGAGAGAATATTCTTGCCATAGCATGTTATATTACATTATTTTGTAATTTAATATCATCTTTATAATCTGTATATTAAACATTTTATCACAGGTACCTATAAAAATCAGCTGTATGCCCAGTCTTCAGAACAGTTTCAGGAGGAGCTGTCATTTGGTTCCAGTGCATTTGCTTATGCTAGGCCGGAGAATGACGAGCTGGTAGGGACATACAACAGGGTATTGTGGCAACCATACCAGTCCACAGCACAGTTCAGAACACCCAGCATCCTGCATACACAGGACCGTGACCTTATTGACAAAGGAGCTGACGGAGCTGAACATGCCCCAAAGATTTCATATAATGACTACCCGTTTGGTAATATTCATTTAATTGTTTATTCATCAATTTCAACAGCAATCATATATCACATACAAATAGGTTTATTTTAACTTTTCCAGTCGTAGGGCATCTTGACAGTGCCCTGATTTACCATTAATTTTTAATAGTATTTCATTATAATCACTTCTGTGCTCTGCTTCCCTCAATGTCAAATTAGATTTCTAATGTATTGGGTCAGAGTTCAAATTAAAAGTAAAGTGGCTACACCCAGTAAAACCGCGTTATTGATGTTGGAAAAAGATAGTTTACTGTATTAAAATGGCTACAGCCTTGTTAGTTGCGGAGATGAGAAAGGGTTAAAATATTAAAACAAGATATGATAAACAAGATATTTAAACAGGCAATGAATATGATTGTTGTTTTGATTTTTTTTAGATGTGGGTTATTACCTGTTTCGGTCACAGACACCTGCTCAATACATGATCAGTCAGAGGAATCCAAGAATACATCTGATAGAGGGAGCAACAAAGATGGATGATGGAAATGTTTTTGTAGCATCACTTTGGAACTGGTGGTATGTTGTGTTAATATCATTATTATTATTATTATTATAGTTGTTTTTATCTATTTTGTTTGAAATATGCAAAATACTGTAAGTAGTAATAATTATTAGCTTTTTTTTATTTTTCATAATATGCAGTGAATAGAAAATAAATATTATATGATTAAATACAAAAAAATTTCTTGATGAAGCAATGGTACACACCAAAATAATATGTATAACAAGAAAATAAATCAGTGTGCATTTGTAAATTTGGTGAGAATTTCACATCATTGGTATGTACTTTTATGCATTCCTTTAAAACCTGAATGGACAGTAAAAGGTGATTTGATTTGAATGCTGGTAATTCAGATGATGGATATAAATATAATACTACTAAAAGTGATGATTGTAATGATAATTGATTGGTTGAAAATTCATGTTATTGGTTTCAGGAAGGAGATCCTTGCAACCAGTTTCTTGTTATCAGTAGTAATGCAGTTTTTCCACTCACAATGCAAGAAGATAGCCAGGATTAGGACAGATAGCTCAAGTAAGAGCTTGGATGAAGGAGACAAGGTGGAAGAGATAGATGTGGCAGAAGAGGTCCAGGTTAACCCCCTGGTTCCTGACAGCCCCACCTTGGTCTATACCTCAAGGTAGTCTAAATCTAATTGTTACTACTATAATTATGCTTTGAAACAGTTTCATTAATTGAATTTATTCTATCACAACTTGGTGATAGATACATACATACATACCATCAGATCTTGATCCATTTTGGTGCATTTGGACATCAGCATGCATTAGCGTTTTCTCCTTCTGTAAGCAGTTGGTTTTTGTCAGAATTTAATAGTTATATACTTGTGTTCTTTAATATGAGATCTTCATTCCAATGCTTTCATCGATCTACAGACTTCTATAAATAGAGCATTTTAATAATATTTTTCTGTTGACATTTTTTGTTTATATAAAATTATCAATTACATATTTAGTTTGTTTGAGCACATAGGTGCCTTAGTATTTGTTGCTATAAACATATATAAAAATTAACCATTGTTGTTTAGGTACCTGGTAGATTTTGATCATCAGCAGTGTTTGGGAAAAGGTGGTTTTGGGATTGTGTTCCAAGCCAAGAACAGAGTGGATGAGAATGAGTATGCTGTAAAAAGAATAACACTTCCAAACAGGTGAGTATTCTCAGTCTTCCCTATTATTTACGAATTAGAAAGTTCTTGAATTGGAGGGTGCTCTGTAAGTATGAGATGGTCACTTTATATCTCTTAATCTTTCAGGTCAGAGGCACGTGAGAAGGTGCTGAGAGAAGCAAGAGCTCTTGCTAAGTTGGATCATGGAGGCATTGTTAGGTATTTCAACTCCTGGCTGGAAGAGCCCCCTCTGGGATGGCAAGAAGAGAAAGATAATGAGATTGGACTTGGGAGGTAAAAAATACAGATATCTGAAATACTATAACATGTTCAATGCCATGTCTTTCTTACAATCTTTGCCCCGCATGCCAACATTAGTTTACATATGAAAACATATTTTTTCAAATTATATGTAGTCATAAATCATCAAAATGGTGTGTCTAATAAATTAGCGGGAAAATATTAGGGCAACAAAATGCAAGAAATATACATACGTTATTTCCACATTATCGTGTAGGTGTATCTTCCTTGGACTACTAGCCAAAAAATCTGTGGTTCTACATTGTATAACAATGAATAAATGCTGGAATATTACACTGCTTTTGATGAGTATACTCATGGTTAGTACCCCCAGCATACCCTATATGACAGGTATACTCTTTGCTGCAGCCAACATGTTCAGTTTCTTTTATGGTAACCAAACTTTCAGAAATAACAAAGAAATGTCTTTCTTTTTGTTTCACTTATTTGCAGTGGGGTAACCACCACAGTGCCAACAGGCCTTACCATTCAGTCATTTTCGCCTGACAGTAAGCTCTTAAGGGATGAAGAACGATTTCATCGTCAGACATCTTCCGATAATCTCCATGCCGAATCCAAAGATAAACATTCTCCAGTTCCTGGTTGCCATGGTGATGATAACACAACAACTGATGATACCTCTGGTACCAATGGTTTTAACATTGGCCAGTATGAGGAAGAGAGCGGTTCTTTCAGCATCATTTTTCAGGAGGAATTGCAAGACAGTGTGAGCAACCTTCCAAAGGAATCATTTGGTTTTGAAGTACCAGAGTCTTTCCCAAATTCTGACCAATCAGAAGATACTGATAACACCCAAAGTGTACCATTCCAAAACTATGGTGATGAATCGTTTGGATTTAATGCAGACATCGAAGACAACAGTGCGTCATTCCAGGTAGTTTTTGAGGATTCCGGATGTGCTGAGAAAGGAAGCGATCAAACTGGAGAAAGTGCTGGCAGCGGATCTCACCAGACAATTACCAAAGAGCGCTCAAAGAAGTGCAATACTCCAAGCAGTTCAAGGTCAAAAGAGTCAGAAGCAAAAGAAATCAGAAAACTTGAAAAGAAACCAATTGCTAAAGTTTATCTGTACATTCAGATGCAGTTATGTCAGAAGGAGACTCTTAAGGATTGGTTATCAAAAATTACTTTGAATCGAAACAGAAATAGGGTTCTACACATGTATGATCAAATAGTGCAGGCTATGCACTATGTGCATAGTCTTGGACTGATACATCGAGATCTTAAGGTAACTGCACTCATTCTCTTGCTTGAAGTTTATTTTCAATAAAGGGATGATTCAAGTTTTCAAAAATATGTGGGGGCACAGCAGTATTTCAGGACCTGGAAAAATGGGGGTGGGGCATGTTTTCCTATTTCCTATAACTGTTCAATGTATAATAGATGCATTGTTGATTAATAAAAAAAAAAACCAATAAAAAAAATGGAATATCCTCCATAAAACAGGGGAGCATTTGGATGGTGCAGTTCTCTAACATGAATCCAATGACCTGGAGTAATAGACTATCTTACAATTTTGTTTATTGTTTTTATTATTTCAGCCTTCAAATATATTTTTCTCAACTGATAGCACAATAAAAATTGGAGACTTTGGTCTGGTAACAGCCATTGATACACAGGTGCTAAATGTATCGACACCAACAACAACTGAGAAAGATAATAAAATGTGTGGGGACCAGCGACACACAAGCCAAGTTGGAACACATCTTTACATGTCTCCAGAACAGGTAGATTCTACAAAATAATGAATTGCTCAATTGTTAGGATCAAATAAGTTTACAACATTTTTTTTTTCAGTGTGTTAACAATTTTGGTATGACAATGAAAATTTTTAAATTGATTACCATCCATTTGAGAGTCTTTGCAAAAAATATTTTTATAGAGAGCAGTTGTGGTTGTGGTGAACTATGGAAATCTTTTGGTCCCATACTTAATTCCCCTCGCTGCTTTCCGTGTGTTTCAGCTAGAGGGCTGAAATGCAAGTTTCAATAACGCACCGTCTGTCCGATGAGACGTTAAAGCCTTTGGTCCCGTGTGCAGTATGGCTGGTGTGCACTTTTAAAGAACGCAGTACACTCTTGGAAAAGTGTAGAGGATTTCCTCCCAGTCACCACCAGACTTGAAAAAGTCTTCTTTGAACTTTTGTAGGTTATCGTTATTACGTTACACAAAATAAATCTAATCCAATATTTAAGCAATGTATATTTTTAACCCATTCATGCTTATTGTATACTCTTTACCTAGCTTGAGGGTAAGACGTATGGGAGTAAAGTTGATATATTTTCTATGGGACTAATTTTCTTTGAGATGCTTTTTCCATTTTCTACTGACATGGAAAGAATAAAGGTGAGATATTATTGTATTTTGTATTGTAATAATAGGAAGTGAAAAGTAAAGTAATGATTATCTGTAAAAAAATATCTTTGAAATATTGAAAGAATCAAAAATTATAACTAAACTTTTGATAAAATTGATTTCTTTGTGGTGGATTACCAAACCAAATTAAATTGTGTTAAAATTTCAAAAATGCTTTAAATGAGACTGTATTTTCCATATTACATTTTTTTAGTATGTATTGTAGCACTGATATATACATTGTGTTCTGTAACTTTGTGTAATTGTAATTGTTCCCTCAACAAGTTTTCTGTATTGACAAATACTTTCTGAACCTGATGTTCTGAAGGGGTGAATTGATATTTTTAAGCTTGTATTAATGAGTTTTACTTCAACCCCACCTTCCCCAGGTCCTGTCAAATGCTAAGAAGTCAGCATTACCTAAAAGATTCACTGATGAATTACCAACAGAGGTGAGAAAAAACTAATACAGCACATTAGTGATTGATGTTATATATTCAAAATATGCTCATGAATGAAGGAATTATTTGCAAATCTTTGAGTTTGTGTTTCAGCTTAGTAGAAAATATTTCCCACAGGCAGGAATATGATCTACTCTGAAAAAAATATTTGAATCTTAGTATTATTCTCTCTGCTCACTATGTAAAGATTATTGAATTGGAATATAGGAATTTCACGACAAAAGTAATTTTTTGTGGTTTTCAATTGAGACTGGTGCTAGCCACTGTTTGTGTGCTGAACTGGAGAGATCTATTGTCTCGCGGTGCGCAATCACCACCAGATGAATCCCACTGGAAATTTTGTGGGTTACCTTTGGTATTCCTACCAAAGAAATCCAATCAAATCTAATACTATAAAAAGTAAGCAATCCAGTTATTAAATTAATTTTTTTTAAAGTATATTAGCTCAACCTATGTGTATTTTTAATTTATTTTTTTTTTGGTTTCTCTTTCTATCAGACAAAATTTGTGAAGTGGCTTTTGTCCAGGGAACCTGATGAAAGGCCTGATGCCGATGAGATAATGGATAGCAACTTATTTGCCAATGTCTTTGAAGACTATGCTCCTCCACATCCAGTAACAAGGAAACGATATTCTTCCAACTCTACTACCTCATAGCTCTAAAGCTATTTATATGAGTATTGGCGTATGATACTATTAATATGCATCTTGTTTTAGATAAATTAGAAGTGGGAGGGGTTCAAAAGGGGAGGGAGCATTATGTACTTTCACATTTTAATCTACTAGCGATTTTGGGTAAAAAAATAGGTCAGATTTTCAACCTAACAAATGTTAGCAGAAGCAGTTTTCATCCGTACAGAAGCGTTGTATGTCAGTGACTATTCTATGTTTGGTTTGATTAAAATTAAAATTATTCAACAATAGCAATTTTAAGAGACTAAACAATTATTCTATGCTTTTGCTATTTAAAGTGATTTTAGGGATTTGATGAACAATGCATAGATCTCTTGTTTTTTGTCCCTGCAGTGATCCTACTTTATATCCTACAATATACTTTATTGATCAATCAAGTATATTTTGACATGATATAATGTACTTGATCAATCAAGTTATAAAATTATGTTTTGTTAATCGCTATAACACTTAACAGTAAATCTTTGCCTTCAAGTTCTGTGATACAGTACGGTAGTTAAATTCTGCCATCAGCAGGGTATCACTGAAACATTCCTTACATGTTGGTTGTTGGTGTATCTCTACCCCACACTGCCACTATCTGAACTGCTTAATGATAGTGTTTCTCATTGTGTACAGTATTTCTAAATTATTCTCTGTTCAATATTTTGACATGAATTACAGTATTCAAAATGGTACAAATGTAGTGGATAAGAAGGTTGAAATATTTTGTCATTATTAAAGATAAATGATTACCTACAGGGTTGTGTTTTATTGCTTCAGAAGATGTTGGGTCCTTGCGATACCTTTGTCAGCCTTGAAGTGGAGGTAAACATGTTTTCCAGTGACCAGCGGAATTGGTATGATAATGTGATACAGATTTATTATTATTCTGTATTATCATTATTATTATTTATTTATTTAAAAATTATAACTTCTTGGATGAATATCAGTTGTTAAAACTAAAAAATACAACTTTTTTGCTGTATAATTTTTAAAATGATGATGTTTATTGATTTAAAATTAGAAAAAAAATGTTTTATACTGGTAATGAGTTCCCTTATCTTAGAGCACATGAAATATTGTGAGGTTGAATTAGTTATTCTGTTCTAATGTACAGAACTATTCCTCTTAACCCTCCAAACTGCACATGTATTTATAGACCAATTAAATTCAAATCAATTAGACATTTCTGAGAAAATGATCAAATATGAATTTCATAAATTTTACTAGTCATATCTCATATATTATGAAGTTTGTTACTTAATACCATAGTACAAGGGTACTATGATTACTTTAATTTGGTTTCTATATTTGTTGGATAATGGAATACAGTATGTGAATAAGAATACCTGTTAGTATTGTCCAACTATGGCATATTTAAACAAAATACTAATATATTATGATATATAATTAAGTCTGATAAATAAGTATTGAAATAATTTGGATGTAGGTGTGAACATGTGAATATTTCATCACATTATTTATCAATAATCTCTTAAACCAATTGTAGTATGGACCAATCTAAAAATAGAAAATACTTTTAAAAGTGTCATCAAAAAATGTAAATATTAATTAACAATATTGTCAATTAAACATCACTTTGAGCATGACCAGGGAAAGGTCAGAGACAAATGTTGAGACACAAACATACTATATATATACTATAAGTATATATTTTATTTTTATCATATTTTAATTACTATAAGTATGGTGTTATGTGAAAACAGTATAAATCATGGCTGGTATAATTAGTTCAAATTATTTAGCAACAAATTTGGATGGTGTTATCATTGAAGACTGGGCTTCGTTGCATACTGAATTTCAAGTTATATTCTTTATTCCTGTACCAAGTACAGAAAATGTAAAATATTGTACAGCCAGCTATCAATAAATAAAAATTTAAAAAGTGATGTCTGATTCATTTATTTGTTTATTTACCGTATTTATAATTTTCTTTCAAGCATGTACTCACATTACTCCCCAGTATTATATGTTATCTAAATTTTATTTTAAAAATCTGCAACATTTACTTTAATTGATTTGGAATTTGTTACTCCATTGCAGTTTCTTGTGCAGTCTTCACATCTTGTTTGTGTTCATGTATGGTACTTGAACATTTTATGCAGGTTTCCTCCACATCTTTGAGTGATTGCACCGTAAGATGTGTATAAGAGACAGGTGTACATATTATACATATTTGTATGTAGTGTAAATTTATTCATTGGGACCTGTCTCTTATACACATCTAGATGTGTATAAGAGACAGGTATATGGGTTGAACTGAGTTACCAAATCCACATTTAAAAGATGTGATTGTACTGTAAAAAAAAGACAAAGCAACAATCTGTTATTTATGTTTAAATCCTAACATAAAGGCCTTCACTTTACCAGTATATTTATTATGGAAAACACGTGGCAGAATAACTTACAGCTGACTTTATTCAAAAATTCTTTATTTTTTGCTAGTTGTTTCCTCAATTCTTCAAGAGTTTTAGTTGCTGAATGGTGATTATAAGTACTTTCCTCTAACTGCGAAGTATCCATTTTTGATTCTGAAAAAGAACACATAGAAAATTGTCTGCATGGATTAGACTACAGCTTTCATTGATCTACTGCATAGACTAGGCCTAGCTTAGTAGATTAAGAGCTGTGTCAGGCTATAAAATATAACGATAAAGTGAATAAGTCGCGGCTGCCGCCTGGCTATATCGCAAATACAAAGAGGCCTTTTCGGCTCGTAATTTTGGGCAACATGAACCTAACTGTCCTCTACATTCTTTTTCAATAAATATATTCTGTGATGAGTTTTCAAAAAGTTAAAACTTTACCTTAATTAAAATACTTCTATAAGTCGGCTTATTTATGGTGTTGTCTGTAATTATCAATATTTTTATAGGCTAGCATGTTACAGTATTCAAGAAAGTGAAAACTTGTTGATACGTAGAGCGCCACCAACGTATGCAAAAAATCAAAACTTTTTCAGCGATCATATCAAAAAGCAGAGCTAGCTAGCTGCTGCTGTGTTGTCGCGCGCGAGATAGATCAGTGCGCGAGAGACTAGCTAAGCGTGACGACGAAGCGGAACTGCTGTATCGCGCGCGGCCTAGAAAAGGCGTTGTGTGGTTTGTTGGTAGGCTTACTTACTTGATTGCTTGGTTGATTGATTGACCTTTTTGTCCTGAAAGGCCGGGCCCTCTTGATCTATGTAATGAGTCTGCAAGGCAAATTTTATGATAATGCATTTGACTAAAAATTAAATACTATTTTTTATACTGAAAAGAAGTATGAAAGCCACTCTCGTTCCGTTCGGCGGCGCTAGACCTCTTTGGCGAGTCTAGGCATAGGCTAGGCCAATTAGCCTACCTAGGTTTTAAGTAGGGCCGACGAAAGCAAAGTGGGCGTGGTCGAGGTTCAAGTAAAATATTTCGAAAAAGGTCAGGGGCAAAGCCCCCGAAAATTATTAAGCTATTTAATCGATTTTAGAGTCTACTAATAATATGTAGAAAATACATAGGCTCTAGGCCTATAATAAATTATATATTTTTTTCTCCCCGACAAATTATGCTTTTTCTCCCCAAAAAAAAAAGGGGGGGGGGGAACTCTCCCCGACGGGGGCCCTCCCTCCCCCTCCTGGCGCCACCCCTGATGACAAGCTTTTCCAAAAATATAAACTAAATAAAACAATATTTTCAAAATGCTTTCTAGGCTCTAGGTTTAGTAAATGTTTCCATTTTTCATTTAGCTGAAACCAGAACATATTGGACTCATTGGAGATGGATTTGATGCAGTCTATTAGTGGTGCCTCTGTAGTAGTTGGGAGAAAAGCAGTGAGAAGTGTTTCCAGCTTTCTTGGCATATCATCGGAAGACAATCAACTGGAATTTTGGCAACAGCGATTCACTTTAAAAGCCAGGGTTAGTTAAGCAATTGTACATTCTATGTAATGTTCAAACCTTGTATCATCTGTGAATAAACTAATTCAATTTAATGTTGGTTTTTATCAAATCTTATTTTTCAGAATGGTAAACTTGCACCGTCACTTGTTAATCTGCTTCCAAAGCGTTTTAGACATTATGAAATTGAAAATGGTGGCAATGAAGAAGAGGGAGAAGACGAAGAAACTACTTTTGGTGTCAAGGTGACCACTGCAGCCAGCACACCAAATCATATCAATCAAAAGGGTAAAGAGAATACAGAGAACAAAATGTCTTCAAAGAGCTATTCAGATAGCTGTGTGACGCATTCAACAGGCCCTACTAAAAATTTTATGGTTACTGACACACAGGCTGAGTCAAGACGGTTTGTCTGTGTAAACATACATGCAGATAAAATGGACAGCTCAAGCAAAACAACTTCTAAAGATGACAAGCAAGAGAAGAGTAAGATATCTGTTCGTTTTCACCCCTGTGTTGACAAAAGTGAAAATATGTGCAATCGGGAATCTGTTATAAATAATCATGATGCTAAAGATGACGACCTAGACATTGTTGATGTTGAGGACAATATAATAATACAAGATACCACACAGGCAAGTGTTATTGGAAAGGAGGACCAGACAAGTGTTATGGGAGAGGAGTACCAGAGAGGTGTTATGGAAGAGGAGGATCAAACAGGTGATATTGGAGTGGATGACAATACAGGTGACATTAGAGATTACCAGAAAGGTGCTATTCTAGTGGATGATGAGAAAGGTGCTATTGGTGAGGAAGACCAGACATGTGTTATTGATGAGGAGGACCAGACATGTGCTATTGATGAGGAGGACCAGACAGTAGTTACAGGAAGATTACGAGAATGCACCAGATGCGAAGGGCACTGGAAGAAACTAGAGGAGATGGTCAGGCTGTCTAAAGAGTCAATTAACAGACCATTAGACACCCTCCTGTATGGACAAGATGCTTGGGATTATTACCAAAAGATTGTTGAGGTTTGAATGTAATGTGTTTTTGAATTATTTATGAGATGGTTTGGTTTTCTTCGGTATGTGAAAACACTAAGGATATCATTTCATAACTTTTTTGTATAATCATTGTTATTTTCAACATCAACTTCTTATTTACAGATGAAATCACTGAGTAAACTTACTGCAGATCAAGAAACAAGCACAAAACAAGAAAAACGCCCAAAAAGGTCAGTGGTCCCAGTGGCTCAAACGCAGCAGTATAAGGACTTCAAGCCTGTCTTCATAACTTTAGTCACCGTTGCACAGATGTTTGTCTTCTCTGTTCTTTGCTACTTTGGGGGTATTGCACCAATTGGCATAACGCCACAGCTGACTTATGCAGAGGGAGTAAAGACATTTATTGGAACAGAAACAGTTTCAGTTTCTGTGTATCCAAATGTATGGATTGGACCAAATGCAAGATATTGGATAGGTATACAGGATTTTTCTTGATTGTACTGTAAAAATATGCAGTCTGGTGAAATCTGTGAAGAAACTCATTTATTCATTAAAATGAAAATTAATTTGCTCATTTGAAAAAATTTTTGAACAAAATTAATAAAAATAATTGAACAATATTTTTATTTGGTTACAGGGATTGGGGCTATGTATTCACCATGTATGCGTGAAGATCATGTGCTTCGAATTGAATTTGCTAAACAAGAATATGATCCACAAGGACCACTTGGATGTTGTGAGGTAGTAGAGTTGCTATCATTTACTTCACCTGTGTTTTTGCAGGAAATTTGGTGAGCGATTCTTAACATAATTTTTTCTTGAAAAAAGAAAATTATTCTGCAGTTTTAAACTGTTCACTGTTGTCATTGAGTATTTAATTCATTGGTTAGTAATTAATAGAGACAGTGGATGTGGCTAGATATATGGAACATGGAGGAATTTCTCCCTGACAACTGGTCCTCTGTTTGCCTTGTGCCAACTGGGACTCAAATTCACAGGCCCTTCTCCAACTTCTATTTAGCTGCCCTACTTCAGTTACTGATTTAAAGAATGTGGCCAAGTTTGTAGAAAGAAATCCTGTATGCACTTTAGTCTACATTCTTGGGATCAAAAATCTAAAGCATAGTGCTTTAATTACCTCATGTCAGTGATATATCTAGGGAGTGCATGGGGGGGGGGGGGTGCACACCTCTAAAAATTGTGTCCCACCCCCAGTCAGCCCCATTGGAAAAATGCTCAGGCAGTTAAAAATCACCTCAAATCACCTTATTTTGCGAGCTAGCGCCTTCCTCACCTAATTATTAAAGCCCCACTTTACCTTCGCCCCACCACCATTAGCCGCGAAGTTCCTTAAATATTATGTATATTATTTTCATATTATACTAACCTCATTATTGATAAATAATAAATATTTTTGCTATTTGTTTGTATTCTGATGAACAGATGTCGGGTATCTTTATACCGTACATGCCACAAGTTGGTGCCACAGCAGCAGTTTGCGGTTTCCTTGGTGTCACATTCATCGAAATAGTTCAGTCAAGAAATTTAACGCAATCTACTATAACTGACTTTTTGAAAACACTACTGATTTTAAGCGTATTCATCGTATCGGGTACCTTGCCATTTGTGGATAATTTTGCTCAGATTGGTGGGTTCATCGTCGGTGTGCTAGCGGGTATCATTTTTCTCCCGTATGTTGTCTTTGGAAGATGGGATGTGCTGAGGCGACGGGTGCTTGTTGGTGTTGCTGTACCTATTCTCCTGTTTCTGTTCTTTTTTCTAATGTTAATGTTCTATGTAGTACAGAGCACTGAGTTTTGCAGTTGGTGCCATTATCTGAATTGTGTTCCATACACCAAATCTTTATGCAATCATACTTGGCTAACATATGAGCCTTTTTAAATATAATGGTTATAATGTTGATTTTTTATAAAATATGGGAGGGGGTATGGAAGTCAAGAAACCATTATTTACTTATTATTAATTACCCTAGAAGACAGCCATTGAAAAAGTCAACATGTTTAAAATATTTTGTTTTTTTGTATACATATTATCATAAAAGAAAATCTATAGTAGAAATCTTTAAAACAATTTTAATTTTCAGTTAAAATTTATATACATACAGAGTTAGAATTTTAAAAATGAACTTATATTTTATTTGCTTATCACAAATTGCCATGCAGTTGCAAGGCCCTATCCAGGCTATCACATTTTATTTGACAAAAAAAACATGTGACATGCCTAAATATGGTCATGATGACATCACATCCTGACCATATATAGGCACATCCTGACCATATATAGGCACATCATGACCATATATAGGCACGTCATAACTATATATGGGTTTGATAGTGTGGACAAAGCTTACGTTTGTCCAAATGCTGGATGTGGCTTAGTTATATGATGTTTATTTTTCTGTTCTTTAAATTAGTGGAATTGACAGTAAGAAGAAATATGCTCAAATACTTTTCTGTGTGGAGTTATTAGAATCATTTAGTAATATGATCTGCTATCAGATGAACTGTGCTTTACGTGAAAAATCAAATGTATAATTGATAGTTAAATGACAGTGCTTATATAGTGATATATACAATATTCCTATGTACTCAATGTAGACTATTGGAAGTATAATGACACTTCTGGAATATCAACCAAGCTTGACTGACCAATCACAACATGCCCCACAAATAATACACATGTTCAATTAAAATAGGCCTATACTTATTTTAATTAGCGTTTCATGGACAATATTATTTTTTCAATATAAAATTCCCACCTATATATATTTTTTTTATTTGGCATTATGAAGAATAAACCAAATATATTTATTTAATTGTACAGTATTGTGTTGATATATTTGTTTAAACGTATACAATATATTGTTTTTCTAAACAAGTACTATATAATATATAGTACTTGTTTATAAAAACAATATTATTAAGAATTAATTTACAATTACAAATCGGTCTTCTTTTAATTCACAGCTGTTTTCTTACATAGCGCCCCCTAGACTATAAAACTTTTTTTTCAATTATAAATGGCATCGTATTAAATTAAGTTACTGTATACTCTAATTATTACAAAATAATTTATAGGGTAATTGTGACATTGGAAAAATAAACGTTATTTGATACATATTTAAAACAAAATGATTATTGTATTGTATTTATTTATAACGTATAAATGTATTACAGTACTGTAACTATGAATTTTTGTAAGGTCGAAGGTTAAATTGGAGGCAACGACGATCGAAAACAAGACACATGTTTGTTCCGTGGTGCATAACTATACGTTTGTGAAAAAAATGGCAAATAAACGCACTAGGAATCGTAAAAAGTTTAATTACAATGTGAACTTACGGAAAAAATGGAGGAAAATGAAAAAGCAGCCGACAGTTCTGTGGTAAATTTTGGTTAGGGGGTCTAAGTAGGTACACAGGCTAGCCCGGTGGTGCTAGGCCTACAATAGAGACGAAGCCGCCGTGCTCACTCAGTCCCTTCTCATGTAGAGCCTAGCTAGCACTGTAGTTAAAAGGTGATTCGTTGTAGGCGGCCCTCCAGAATATAAATGCCATTACTGTATTTAACTGTTCGACCGAATATATAGGCCTAGCCTAGTTTGCTGGCCATTTTTTCGGAGGTCATTTTACTTAAAGAATCATAACTCCTTAACGGAGGGTCGTATCGGCATATTTTTTTTCTTTAAAATGTTCGCAAAGGATATATCTAAGTCGTGTATGAATAACAAAAAAATTAAAATTTGTTTAGTCTGTCAAAACAATTGAAATAATAAAAACACGCTATAGCTATACAAAATCTGTCAAATTTTTAAATTTTTTTTTATTCATACAGTACGTAGATATGTCCTTTGCGAACATTTTAAAGAAAAAAATTATGTTGATAAAACCCTCCGTTAAGGATTTATGATTTTTTGAGTAACATGACATTCAAAAATGTGGCCGAACTGCTATGTTATTTCTGTTGGTTACGCTTCACTGCTCAGCATTTTTTGTCATCGATCGAACATGTCTACCGCAGCGTGATAAAGGCGTATAAGGACAAGGTAGGCATACCTGTAGCATCCATATTGGGTTCTGGTTGGGTGGCCGACAACACTCACAATTTCAACTTCAATAAGGTCACATGGATACTGTATGCTCTGGCGTTCGACTGCACAGTGCGGTTAATTAGAACATATATGATCTATGGTCAAAATATTGAATTATAATTGCATGTATTTACTCTATTGGAAGATGGAATATATTTAAAAAACCTTTTCTTTACCTGTTTGCAGTGAACAGATGAAACACAACTGGGATCCTAAGAAAACAACAAAGCAGAACATGCATGATATGGGCCTATCTTATGATCCAAATGAGGCAGTACCAATACCAAAAACCAAGGTGATTTATTGCAAACTAATGTATTGATAAATACAGTAGTATGACTAAAGTAAAATCATATTTTAATATCTAGTCAAATAATGTGTCTACATAGTGTAATTATGCTATTGTTATTCAGTGTTTAATATTAAAAGTTTATTTTAAAGAATATTAAATGATGCTAATTATATGTGAAGTTTAATTTTCTATTCTAATATGCTCCATTTTCTAGGAGGTAATGAAACCGAAGAATTTGAAAGATGAAGAGGAAATGGATGTAGATAATATTAGGAGCAGACAGACAAAAAAGAAGAAATTAGACCCAACTAAGCTACATGTGGTTCAAGGTGGGCGCAATGAATTGTGATTTTAACAACCTTTTGAAAGTGCAGTGTTGATGGCTAAACAATTTGTCAATACTCCCTTCCTTTGCAGTAATCCATGAATATATTGGTATACTAACAAACTACTGTTAACATTTGGTTGGTGCCAAATATTTCTGAATGATAATTCATTACCCTTGTTTTTAGACCTGAAATTTTTTATTTATTGGTTTTTTTTCCCTTCGTAACAGAATTGGAAGATTTGTCCAAACTACCTACAAATCCAAGTAGAACGTTCCGTTTATCTGCACCAGTTGTGCAGTACTGTGTTTATATGCTTGACAAATATGGAGATGATTATAAGGTCAGTGTTGTTACATAAAGGGAAAGCCTTGCCCACACTACTGTATCACATTTTATGTGACAAATAAGTGTGATGTGCTTATATATGGGCATAATGTGCTTATATATGGGCATGATGTGCCTATATATGGGCATGATGTGCCTATATATGGGCATGTTGTGCCTATATATGGGCATGATTGCCTATATATGGGCATGATGATGTCATCTTACACCCAATATGACATTGTGGACAGAGCTTTATAATGCTACCATTTTAAGAAAGTAATTATAGTCAGCGAAGGGTGCAACAGTAATTGATTACACAGCATCTACTGATATACAATTACATTTAATATCTATCTATAAATTACTTATCTAGGTGACCCTGAATTAAAACACTGTATAATATTTTTTCCTTTAATTTTCAAATTTTGTAGAATGATTTTCAGTTTTTAATTCACTAGCAAATTGTGTAAAACATTTGGAATTTATGTCTTATTTTTATCAATTTAAATAAGCAAATTTACTATTTCATTAGATTATTAATGAATTTTTAGTTTTTATCGCAGTTATTAATTCCTAAATGTATGCATGTGCATCCCCAAGATCATACAACTTTCACGATTATAATGTAGACAAAAACATTGATATATTGTAAGAGACATGTTTAATTATTGAACATCATTTGTTGGATTGCAGGCCATGGCAAGGGACAAGAAGAACTATTACCAAGATACCCCTAAGCAAATCAGACAAAAGATCAACATATTTAAAGGGATACCTGCACACTATAATGAATACCTAAAATCAAAGGAAAGTGGTAAAGTTGAGAATATGGAAACGGAAGCCTTAACAACATAGGATGGAGGGCATATGTCACTGGTAATATTGATCAGAAGGGGCAAGGCAAGCAAAATAGTTAATCTTCATCTTGGATGTTGGACTTGGAATAAATAACGTACTCGCTAGGTAGCAGTAAACTGTACACATTGTGCGTTACTGTTTTATATAATAAGCAGAACACAATCGTTATGCACTCACTGTGTTGTACGACAAATCCAACTCCACTCCCTGTGAGTGCTAAACGATGCGACACCAGTGGCGGCGCTATGGGGAGGTTAGGAAGGGCTACAGCACCCCCCCCCCCCTCCAATCGGGGAGGCTTTGTTCCCCCATAGGAGATGTTAGTATAGATTCGTCTTGGATAAAATGATATTTTAAAACATTTTCTGTATTATTATCAAATGTTGGCCTGAATTGGATAGGATATAAATTAATAGTTTGGACACTGATGAGATACAAAAACACCATCCTTAGGTCAAGATGCCCTGTATATAAGTGTCTGGCAGATTATTTGGGGAGGGGGACACACCCGTCCCAAATCCTTTCCCGGCTTGGGCCTTCGAATAGCGCTATGCACCAAAGTACAATTCTTGGCCTGCTGTCGGGGAAATCCTAGTGCCACTGTGCGACACCGTTTGCTGACTGTTGGTGGCAGTCTGAATGGATCGTCATTAAAAACGATCCGTTGCATGCGTTGTGCCGTTCTCCGTAGTTCTGCGTAGGCCAGCAACAGTCGGGCGTATAGCGAGTGCCAGAATTTACAAGTCTGACATGTGGCAAATACCCAGTTGCTATGTATTAATATTATCAGCATTATTATTACTGTACTAGGATGATTGATAGAGATAATTGAGAAAAATCCATCACTTTTTAATACAGTACATGAATATTTTAGTATTACAGTAATAGCATAAACCCAGAGGACCTATAAAAGTCCTTGCATAAACAGCGCCCTCTTTTAATTATGTAAATATATTTGGAACCAATAAAAGACATACCAACAAATGAAAAACTAGTACCTTGAATCACGTCAGTCTTTATTATATTGCTCCTTGCAGTGAAGTTTTACAAATCTGGCATCCACCAGGTGATACAATAATAAACAAAACAATAGTAAACTCAACCCTTGAAGCCCGTGCAATATTCACAAAAATAGAACCAATAAATATATTATAATATATATGCCAAGTATTTGAAAAGGTGTATGATAATAAACAAAACAATGAACATGACCCTTAAATCCAAAAATAGAACCAATATATGGTATAATATATATGCCAATTATTCATAAAGGTGTATGATAGTAAACAAAACAATAAACACCTCTTAAATCCAAAAATAGAACCAATATATAAATTACATACACCAATGTGCAGGATGATGGTATTGATAATCAAAATGGGAACACAACCCTTAAATCCTTGTAATAATTCACAAAAATATTACTAATACTGTATTATATATATACAAAATATTTGACAAGGTGACATGATAATGAAAATAAAATCAATATAATACTGTATTATAGACCAACTGTTTGACCAGGTTGATAGTGGTTAACTAAAAAATCAGGAGACAACCCCTAAATCCATTAAATCATAAAAGCCAATATTTTATTAAATATGCCAATTGCAGATAAGATAGTGAAAATAACCTTTAAAATACATGTAATAATCACACATCATATAATTATAATATTGCTCTCATGTAAGTCATTGGTCACTAAAGGGATATAGCACTCTCAATACTGTACATTTTTACAGGCTGTAGTGCAAAAGTTCGAAGGAATTAATGCATTATACTGCATAACTAATACATGAACTTAAAATACCAGTGATATGATATGTAAAAATTTTCCCAATAATCAATTCATAATTCATCAATATAATAATACATATTGTGTACAATTAACATGCAGGAGTATAGAGCCATATAAAAATGTTAGTAAAAAATAAGTTACTACCTATAACTTTCACCTGCCAATCTGGGTAATACAGCTCCTACTAATTTAGCCAAAATATAATTTTATTTATGTTTTAGTAGTATTAGCACACACATTATTTTATATTGATTGTTATACTGTATTATATATATATACAAAATGTTTGATAAGGTAACATGATAATGAAAATATAATACTGTATTATAGACCAACTGTTTGACCAGGTTGATAGTGGTTAACTTAAAATCAGGAGACAACCCCTAAATCCATTAAATCATAAAAGCCAATATTTTATTAAATATGCCAATTGCAGATAAGATAGTGAAAATAACAAAATAACTTTTAAAATACATGTAATAATCACACATCATATAATTATAATATTGCTCTCATGTAAGTCAGTGGTCACTAAAGGGATATAGCACTCTCAATACTGTACATTTTTACAGGCTGTAGTGCAAAAGTTCGAAGGAATTAATGCATTATACTGCATAACTAATACATGAACTTAAAATACCAGTGATATGATATGTAAAAATTTTCCCAATAATCAATTCATAATTCATCAATATAATAATACATATTGTGTACAATTAACATGCAGGAGTATAGAGCCATATGAAAATGTTAGTAAAAAATAAGTTACTACCTATAACTTTCACCTGCCAATCTGGGTAATACAGCTCCTACTAATTTAGCCAAAATATAATTTTATTTATGTTTTAGTAGTATTAGCACACACATTATTTTATATTGATTGTTTCTGAAATTGCATCATATATAACTTGACATCAATAAACAACAACATCCACATATTTCCTGACAATTGTGCCCTGAATGCTGAAGAACATTCAAGGTCATTGAACTCATAAGCTCTCAACAGAACAAATGAGAACCAGATCATGATTTTCAAATTTGAAGGATACCCAACAACATACTGGGCATAAAACATACGCCTTCACGATAATATTTACGATAACATATTTGCATAATTTATGTTTACGGTCTTTTAAACTCAGTAAGTCACTAGCATCCTGGGGTGACATATCAATTAAATCAATAACAATGCCCACTTATTTGTTACACTTCTATTGTATGAAGTTTATCCTTGCCTCAAGATAATCTAATCAATTATGTAAGGCTCAACCAAGGCAGGGGAATTAATTAACATTTAATACTGTATTTCAATATCAATAACTTCAACAACCACAATGGACTTTCTAGTAAGCCCCACCCCTTGAATCATGTTGCTAAGGTCTCGAAAAACAACACAACAGCATAAATTTGTTTGCTGGTTGTATCCTTGGACCTGTTGTGCTTGGTAAGTTTGACAATCAGGAAAGGTCTGTTATGTAAATAACACTTACGATACGATAACAATATTCACTTTTTGCATATAACTTGCGTATCTCCTTGCTGCGAAATGTTTTATCTTAAATTGAGGCACTAAATTAACATTGCATAAACATGAAATTTCAATCTTATAGGGAAAATGCATAGTATGAAATTATATATGATAATGGTATTTTAGATAAGATAGTTACCTCCTTTATACTTGCAAATGTAACAGGAGAAATAATTATGAAACTATTTAAAAAAACACTTGTTAGAATATTATATAAATGTATGGAAAAGCTGCATAGTATAAAATTAAATGTTCAGTTATTAAATATTTGTTACTGTACTTGGCAATTGTAAGAGAAAAAATTACAACACCATGATTAAAAAAATAAAAATTTGTTAAAATATTACATATTCATTATATATTATATATATATGCTGCATATTATATATAAGCTGCATAAAATGGCATCATATGGAATCAGTGACACAGTTAATATATAATTGTTTGTAAATATTTATATATACCAAAAAAGCCCTATGAAACAATTGCCTATGGTTGTAATTTTTATATAAAAATACTGCATACATGTGATAAGAGCCACTAACTTGTTGCATTTCCAGCATAGTAAATATATTATTAATTCACCTAATTATAAAATATGCAATTTAAAAGGCATTTGCAATGGTTAAAGAAAATCAATATATACATACTATTTAAATACCGTCGGTGAAAACACAAACCCAGAATGAGAAAAATAATTAAAAATACCCAACTGCATGTATTGCACTGCCCAACTACTAAAAAAAGGTCTCAGTCAGGTTGGCAACAGGTCATCGGAATCCTTTGCATACAGACTTGCTTTTGAATTTAACTTCTGAGTGTTCTTTCCTTAAATCTCTTGAGCTAAAAAAATAATTCTAACCCTGTTGCTTTGCTACCAATTTGTAACTACTGCCTTTAACTGACTTGTGCGACTTCTCTCATTCAGGTCGGGTGCGACTTCTCCCATTCAGGTCGGGGGGGGGGGGGGCATCGGGCGTTTTTTTTTTTTAAACTTTTTGATGTCTATTCTAAAACTGGTGTTCTATTGAATTTGCACCCTCCCCATTTTTTTTAAATTTAAAATCTGAATCTGCTCTAATTATAATTGTGCAATTATGTACCCATAATCATTTATATGGTCAGTTGTTGGTAGCAAAATTAGTATGCTTACTTTTTTCGTGTATACAGTTTTGCTAACTACCAGTTAACAAAAAAAAAACAAAGTTATCACATTTAATTCCTTGGCCACCAAAATGGGAGGAGAGTTACAACAAAAGTTACTATAGTAGTGGTTTTTAGTATAGTATTGAAATGTTGATTGCTTTTGCTAGGGTGGGGAAGGGGAGGCATATATCCCCACCCTTGTAGTTTCTTGACAGCCATGTGTATTGCATTCCAAATATATTAGCACACATACCAAAACAGCTTTTAATCCTTACAGTTTTTTGCACTAGCTTTTGGTTTTATCATTCATAAGGAGGAAAAAATGGGATAAGGATGGGTTAATAATATTCTCATTCCAAAAATAGTGAGGAAAGCAAAAACAACCATTTGCCCACTGCCTACCCAACGAATATATCAGAACATGGTCATATGCACCAATTCAAGCTAACAATTCATTTTTTATGCAATTAAAAGAGGCATGCCATCCCAAAACCAACTGGCATAAGTGACCCAAAAATGAAAATTGACTTTTTAATATTATTCTCTTTCTCCACATTTTAAGATTTAAAATGATCGGTCATTTACTGGAATTGACTTATTATTGAGTAAAAGTATAACAGATTCTCTGTACTAAAGTATACAATACTGTCACAATCTTATACTAATTACTCAGTTAAACATTTAGTATGCTGGTTTTGGAATGGCAAAAAAAAAAAATTATAACTTAGTGCAATCATTGTCATCTATTCCAAATAGGATTTACCTAGACTTTGTCTGCAAGGACAATTTTGTTTCGTCCATATAAAAGAACAATGTTTAAAGATGATTGCTTAAAAACATGGTATAGAAGACAAATTTCATTGATTCATATCTTTTGTAACTGGAAATAAATTTATTTATTAAGCTTATACCCCAAGCAGAAGTTTGTTTTGTTGTAATTAAATTTAATGCCTTATTTTTGTTATCAACGTTGGATTGGAATAGCTAATTCTTCAACCCTCGGAGGGCAGCGCCCTTTCTTGGCAGCTTCGCTGACGACAAATGCATCAGGGTTAAATTGAACATGATGCATTGTTTCACGTGTTATTGGTTGGGCAAGCTCGTTGGTTCTTGAAGTTGCGACGGCTCGCTTTGCTGACCTTTTGACCTCCCACTGAATAGAACGTGCAGGTTGATAACCTTCAGCTACACTCTTCGGTTTTGAGAGTTCTAGTTGTCGTGGTGATACTGAAGCTTTTAGAACTGATGCAGATACCTATACAATAAGTAAATTTAGTTTTGTTTAACTTGAAGCTCGAAATACATTGTTTTATAAATAGATTGAGAAAACTACAAAACATTGCAAAACGATAATCCTATACATATGTAAAATTATTATTAATTTAGTAACCTTTTCCCATTAGGGATATATATCAATTATATCAAATAAAATTTTATATATTTTGTTTCACTGGGATTTGAACTCAAAAACTACTGTTTATGATAGTTTAGAAACTGAGCTATGATTTGTATACAAATTTGCTAAAAATATTTTAACAGCATTTAACAAGCAATTTGTTATTATGACAGTAATTCATATAGAGTATTTATATATATTAAATTCTTCCAATAAATATAAATGTTGCCACTGTAAACAGGGATGATTACATCACATAAACATTTTCAAGCATAAAGATATTGGATGGTCACTTACTGGCCATATTGAGTCCCTGAACGGTCCAACTGGCCGTGACTTTGGATTGGCAAGGTATTCCAGCCTTGGTGAGGCTACAGCTCTCTTGGCAGCACCACCCACAATAGTTTCAACCTAAAAAGCAAGAGTAAATATGCACTTGGGAAGAGAATGTTTATACTACTGTAATAGGGGTTGGCCTTGTGTTTACGCCTCAGATCAGTGCGGTGTACCCAACTTGTCAGTAGCCAGAATCTAAACATTTTTATTGTCCACGGCATGTTCAGTTGCTTTAGATCCTTTAAATTATTTTTTATGTGTTGTTTTTGGTTTACCAGAGAATTCTTCGCTTCCTTCTTATGAATAAGCTGTGTATGTACTTTAACCTTTGTTTCATTGTTTCCTTATATTTTTTATGGTGTTTCCTTTGTTCTTGAAAGATTACATATTATGTGTTGCCCTCTGAATTCTTAAAATTCATTACACACAAGGTTTTGAAATATGAATCAAGATAACTTGTTTTTCCTGTGAACAAAAATAATCAAAATCACAAATGCTGTATGTCTGTCAACTTACTTCCCGTGCTGGCAAGTAGTCTCTATGTGGGGTTTTGGATCTTGCGAGACTCTCAATTCGTTCTTTTTCTACTGCCTTCTTTGCAGCATTACTGACGGACCAGATAGGGGATGAACGCCCACAGCTCAAAGCATGTGTGGCCCTAGACAAATTAGTAAAGCATATGTTTATGAATCTAATTCACTTATATTACTAATTGGTTAATTTACATATCAAGTAAGCATTTACAATATAAAGCAACACATACTTATCTATGAAAATGTTAATAGTTTAATTATGAAAAACAGACAATCTATTAATATGCAAATATTATGTTTGTACTGTATCTCTTCAGGGTTTTTTGTGCAGCTATACTTGTTTGGATTTTCCTGTGTTTTTGTTTTTGTTTATGTTAACTTCATTGATTAAAAAAATTTCTGTATGTTGATGTGAAGTCCCTGGAGAGCTTTTGCATTGGGCATTATATATGTATATTATTTATTATATACTATTTATCATTATTATTTTATACAGTAATATTACGTTGCTCCCCCAAAGCCATATTTGCCAGAATAATGACTCCCAACCGGAGTTCAACTATAAAAAATGAAATAATAATTATTCTCGAACCACAATACAGTATTTCTATACTTAACTCTGACAGCTGTTTCTTTTGCTCAACAATTTTTCACAAACAACCAATTCCATAATTACTCTACCTGACAAGCATCATCTTATCACCTACCTCTCAATTAATTTGTCTGTATAACTAAAGCATTGTAAAAATTATTACTGTATATTATTATTACTTAATTATCAATAATATTATCATGGTTTATCATAACTGAATATGTTCTCTCACCTGTCTTGCTGATAAGCTACAGGAAGTTTTTTATACTGTGCTAGATTTGTTAACCGTTCAGTACCATTGGATCTCATCGCTAGAGGACTCACTTCCCAAATTACAGAGTTTCGTCCACAACTGTATACATGGATATGTCTAAAAATTTATACAAAAATGATACAATGATATTTAGTTTATAGAAAATATTGTTTTTACACTAAAAAAAAAAAATTGGTTTAAAATCAACAGAAACCTAAGACTTAAGCAATCATACTTTTTCCCATCTTTTGGATTTCGGAAATCTTTCTTTGGTATTGACAGCTCTATTAAGCGTCCTGTGGGTTCAGCGTTGAGGGCGCCATTTGTTAAAGGCCACATCATTTCTTGGTTTCCCCACACCAAGTTGGGTCTGTAATGCAAGACAAAACTGACTGAGACATGTAAAACAAATTTATAATAATAATAATAATAATAATAATAATAATAATAATAATAATAATAATACACATTTTTACTAGCGCCTATTAAAACAAAAACTGGCTTGTCACTGGCGCTGTAAGATGTTAGAAAGAAGTTGAACTATTTGAAGAGGAAGGAATTTCACAGTAATGCTGTATTTTGAATTGTTATCATTGGTAAAATTATGATGATTAAAATATTTTGATAATAATGCAGTGTGACAATACTCGTCATAGGCAATCCCTTGATATTGAGTAAGATATCAACTTGGTAGGATTAAAGTGAATTTGTTGTTATTATTATTTCTTTTGTTTGTTTGTTATTATTATTATTAATTGGTTGATGGCTGCAAAAGCATATTTTCCTTCATGATAAAAAAACTTCTTACCCTACAGCTGTGAGCCAGTTTGTCTTGCATGTTTTGGGAGAAGCAAGATATATACATCTTTCCCTGTAAAGAAATAAATAGTCAAAGTATACTTTTAATTAATGATAAGAAATAATGATAAAAAATATGTTGAAGATAAAATATGATAAACTATAATATTATCTTTATCACAACAAAGCGACAATAAATTAGGCTGCTTGTACACTGAAAGATAGTAAAGTATTATATTTTGACATATAGTAGGGATTTTCAGTGGTGTATCTAGGGGTGAACAGGGTAGTGCACACCCTTACAATAAACAGCTTGCTTCCCCAGTTGTCCCCACAGCAAATGATTGAAGCAAAGAAATTACACTCCAGTAGTAAAAAAAAATCACCTTATTTTGCGAGATAGGGCCCCTCACTCAATTATCAAGCCACCTCCCCACTTCACCTTTGTGCACCCCTATCAGCACCTCCCCTCCCCCCTCCATTTCAATACTCCTAGATACGCCTAACAGTTATTCACAATGTCTCAGCTCTCCTAGTCATGCCATTACTATTCCATTCCTCTGGTATATAACCATCCATGACCTTAGCAAACACCAACTATTGTGGCTCCCCTAATCAGCAATTTATTTATGGTTTCCATACTGGTGTGTGCACACACACACTGTACATGAAACGTCTTGCTCATTGATTACAAGCAGATTATGAACAAGAAGGTTCTGAGTTGTGCATATTTTGTTTTAGCAGTGACAAGTTCCATACCTTCCACGGAGTTCTCGAGTGTTTCGACTTTGTGGCTCACGATTTACCAAAACTGGAAAAAAAAATGGATTTAATATTTTAAATAAATCAAATCAACATTTATTTCTTTCACAATATAACGATAAAAAATAATTATTAACACATATTTAAGGTATTATATGTACTGTATATACAGTGTTTTAGTAAATACACATGCACTGCAAAATTAATATACATTTTTATGTTGAAAATGCTGCAATAATGATAGTCACAATAATATTATTAATACCACAGTATTATACAAAAAATTACATCAAATCCACACTTAGCCCACTGGAAAGATGAAGACTTAAAGCAGGCCTATTCTGTACTGACATCCATGTTAATGATAAAGATGTATCATTTAATGTTATACTTATGGCTCAAAAATGTCAAAATAATATGAATCAAATATTATTTTAGTCTATTAAATGTGTTATCACGATAAAAACAGTGTGTCCACACCGAATAAGAGTTGAATGACCTCTTGACACACTCAGAAAGTTGTGTGTGCGCCTAAAAAGGGCATGGCTGCGGTGTAAAAAATATATTTTCCATTGTTTCACAAAAAATTGTCCCTTAATAAGGGTGTCCAATAGGAGGTGATTCTACAATAGCTTGGGTTACGTAGCTGGAACTTACACTGCTTTTTCAAAGCAGTGTATCCTGACTGCCAATGTGTTGACTGAAATCAATAAAATTAGCCCTGACACTGACAAACAAAAGCATTATTACAATATTTAGGGTGATTCATTCAGTACTTGACTACATGGAATCCTCCTCGAGAGAATCTGTTTTTGGTTGTAATAAAAACTCTGACACAAACTTGGATTGGACAAAGAATCATGGCATTGTAATGTCAGCATATTAGCCTTCAAGTAACACCTCCTGCAATTGACTACGATAAACACTATGCTGTACCATTTAAAAACATGTTTAGTTATCAACTTTTGCCAAGGTCTCATTGTGAACAAATTACAAAAAACGAGTCGATACTGTGGTCTATTGATTTCTCAAAATACAAACTGGAGAAGTCAAGGACCACGTCTAATGAATAGCCACCCTATTCATATATTATTATCTCTCTGAGTGCCTATTTGTAAGTCAGTGATTACATTGTGCTTCTAGATGGAAAGAATACTAAACTGAAACTGAGTAGTGTTAAATTTACAAGATTCTTGTTTTCTCTTATATGTTCTATTTATTATATATTTGTTTATATCAGTGGTTCAAAACCATTTTGCATTCACAGACCCATTGGGACCCCCAAGTCTAACTCGATGCCAATATTACACTGACAGGATGATGGTAAGATTAGGCCTACAAATGGAGTACAACATCAAAGCTATTGATAAGCCTCCTAATGATTAGCAGTATTAACATGTTTATCACACTCTTTAAAACAAGAAAAATAATGAAATCATAAAAAACTGGTCTAAAATTCTAGCAAACCCCTACATTTTTTGTGGACCCTTTTGACTTGGCGAACCCCTGGTAAGGAATTTGGTTTATATGATACTTTCTTTGTGTGTATCTCTGTTAAAAAGTGTAGATGCAACTAGCACTTACAGTAAGAAAAAAAATAGAATAATACGAGCCCAATGATTAATAATAGAATCACTTATGAACAGTAAATATACTGTTCCCTACAGTATGAATGGAACAACATTGAAACCAAATAAAAAAAGCATTAAATTTAAAATTAAATTACCCAATCCCACATGAGAAATAAACATTAGGGAGGCTTTTTCCATCCAAGCCAATTTGATGGTTAGCACCAGACAAAATCAATCGCATTACACTCTAGCAACTACTGTATGCCTAGGCCTATATACTACTTCTCAGAACTGTCATGTTATTTTTATCCGATATACCATTTTTTTACCTTGCCAAATGGCTACACAAAGCAATTTTAAAAAAAAAAGTTTTTAAATTACATACAATTTTGTTTAAAAAAATTTTGGGCTCTGTGGTTGAATATAATATTAATACCCACACTTTGGGCCTGACAAAAATAAATAATACATCACTTTGATGAGACTGACTAAATTATAAATGTGATATTGGTAACATAACTAAGGGCACATAGAAAAAATTATTAGATTATCACTCTTTCTTTTAAAAAAAAGTTGATGAGGGAGGGCATTTTTTTTTTTTTTTATCGGAATAGATTATTTCGCTTTTATTTTTATCAATGAGGGAGGGACTGTTTATATTTGGTCTGTAATAGTAAATATTGTATAAAAACTGGTTTAATTTTATAATATTTTATGGTGTTGAAATAATCGATGCAGCAAAAAATTTTTTTTTTATTCCCGCATTAATATTTCCCGAATTTTTGACGCAGGCAGGAGTGATAATCTAATCAATTTTTCTATTTGCCCTAATAATACAGTATTCATAATAATGAATGTTCTATGTCTCACTTTTTTATGTTGTCATTTCTAAGAGACAGAATTGAATTATTTCCTATATTTATTAATATCATTAATATTATGGTAACTTATTAATTAGGCCCCCATCCATGCCTCATTTTATTTAATCTAGGCCTAGATTACATAATATTAATTTACATATATTTATAAATTAAACAAAATATATTTGTATTTTTCATTAAAAAAAGATAGGCCTAAGTTAAGTCTAGGAGCTAGGCCCTAGGTCTATTATCCCCTATACTAGCTGGCTGGCTAGCTAGAGCACTGCAGTAAGTGGGTAGCCAGCCTACCTATGTAGAGAGAGTGGACCTAGGCCTAGGCCTAGCCTGGAGGTCTAGGCCTAGCCTACTTTAGTTAGAGAGGCCTACCTACGCCGCTTGCCAGCAAAAGTCTTTCTTAAATCTAGTGTTAGTAAAATTACCTTGTACATCAGCCATAATTAAAATTTTGATCAATCTATAGAAAACTATAGAAAACAGTACGCGGACTTTACATTTATAGGAGAAACGTGGACATAATGTTTGTTTATCTCACTTTAATCGATCCACTACTTTGCGCGTCCCTTGGATACGGGACGTTGGATACGGCGGTCTTTGCATACCGATGAGGGCGTAAGATATAAATTCCCGCCCGTCAGCTGTTTAGCATCAGTGGTTCCCAGCGTGACCTCTGCTTGGGTATTTACCCAAGATCTTGGGTATTTTGACTTGGTCTTGGGTTCTTGGGTATTCCGTTCAAATCCTTGGGTATTTTATTTTTACTAAGAAAATTAAATATTTTTGTCATAGAGGAAAAATTAAGAAGTTTCAAAGTATATTTCAGTCCATTCAAGTAAGCAAAACTCAACGAAGTGCACATAACATTGTTAATTGACTGTTAATTGTTATAAACATGGGTTCAGAATTGTTTATTTGTGATTTCCGTTGCCATAGATCTTACCTAATTAATGCATTACATAATAAAACTTTATCACTGATCTACACACTGATAAAACTGGCCGACTGAATATTAATTTTATTAATTAACACAAATAATTTCAATAAAAAATGGTTTATAAATTGAACTAAAAGGGAAGCTATACATGCGAAAAACACGTATTTTTCAAATTTTAATGCATTTTCAGGAAGCTAGGGTAATTTTGGGCAATTTTTGCTGAATCTTGGGTAATTTCGACCCAGTCATTGTGTATATCAAAAATTGTGAGTGGTCACGCTGGTGGTTACACACCTGGTTGTGGTTATTGCATTGTAGCAATAACCCATTCGAATCCTGGTCACGGAATTGAAGATCTTACGTCATTGGTCCTTTTTCGGGTCCTTTTTGTATTCACTAAAGCTTATCTTAAATTAATCTATCAGTCTACAGTAGTTTTGTCTAGAGATAGTATATATTACAGTATAGTATTCTTGATTTTGTTTTATATGTTAGTATATTATTCATCCATGTTTTAGCTACTAAATGTTAGACTTGCTTGTATTTCCAACTGTACCTCGCGTGATCATTAGTGGGTATTATAGTAGTGGATTGTGTGTTTTTATATTTTTTTAATAATTTGTTTCATTATGATCTTGATATTATTAATCTAATAAAGGACGGTTTTTATTATTTATTAACCCCGGATATTTGGTAAGCCAGAATACTTTTGTACCTATATGTATCCAGGCTTCATTTTGGTAAACAGTTCCAGACCTTAAATGAAGCCTATCGCCATACATGGCCCTGGCTTCTAAGAATGCTACTAGAGTACTTTTCAAGGAAAAGAAATGTCATAGCGCCCCCACTAGCATACTAATCATATGTGTGAGGGCTTATGATTCAGATTCAAAATTCAATTATTTGTTGCTACTTGGACCCTGCTTGATCCATCTAGGACAACATGCTACCGTAACAATCAAAATCTTTACAAATAGGGCCTAATGCCATCTTCTTTATCAAGTTAAATTGGTTAAATTAAGTGAATTATTTAATTTATCACTCCTGTGTTAACGCACCTTCATTGGCTTCCTGTAACACAGAGAATTACTTACAAGATTTTATTATTTGTTTTCAAAGCACTTCATAATTCCTCGCCAATGTTTATTTCACAACTCATTCATCCTTACATTCCTAAGAGGTCTCTGAGATCTAGTTCAGAGTCTCTACTTGCTCATTCCACTCGCCCGTCGACAAAGCATTATGGTAATCGTTCTTTCTCTTGGGCTTCCGTCTTTCTTTGGAATGCTCTGCCTATTACAATCCGACAGGCAACTTCCATTGATGATTTTAAGGCAGCTTTAAAAACTCACCTTTTTAACTTGTATTTTTCTTAATTTTTTTTCCCCGAATTTTATTTTTACTGTTAAGCGCATTGAGGCTTTAGCATAATGCGCTATATAAGCCAAAATTATTATTATTATTATTATTATTATTATTTTATTTATTTGTCAAACATGGCAATAAAGAATACAACAGACCAAAAATCAGAGACGGGATAAACCAAAAGTTAAATTGCTGTATTCTCCGTTGATTTAAGGTAAAATACACGAAATAATATGTTTATGTTCTATAAAAGTTAAAAACAGTCAATCAAAAATGTAATACAAAATTGAAAAAAAAAATTATTATTTGCAGCATAGCACGTACAGAAACAAAGAAGCCATTAGAAAAACCCAAAAGGGCCATTCTGTACCCAAGTCTAGTTACTAAAAATAAACCTGAGATTCAGTAAATGATGGCAACAGCAAAGTGCAAACACTACGACATAAAGGCAGCGACGGCAGCATATTACAGAGAAGAAATATTTATTATTGTTTTTTTTTTAAATCAGGGTTATCCGCCATGGGATCCCGTCTGCGAATGTAGGTTAAAATGTCCCCAAATGACGGGTAGGTATAAATGGCTCCAATAATAAAATTTTGTATCAGAACCTTGAGTAAACTGCTTTTACATTTTCCTGATCAATAGCTGATACTTGACCATACTGTAAATTATAATTAAAAGCTACATAACTACTGATTGTATTCAGTACCAACGTAGTTCACGTCGATGTCGAGATTAAATAAAGTTTTGTTAAAAAAATGTTGGATTGTCTCTTGTTTTAATTTTTTAACTGCCTACCATTATTGATGACTGGAGATGATGATGAAGATGATAATATGGTAATTGTTCATGCAAAACACTATGCCATGATGCAACCACTTATTATTTAGCCAATTAAAACGAGCAACTAATTTTATTCCTTATTGCCTAAACCACACAGAATGATGCAATATGATCTATTTCTTACAGTATATAAAATCACAGAAAAATAAGACGGTAACTAGTTACTAGAAAAATCCCTATAATAATATAAGAATAAACTGGACGAAGGCTCATAATTGCAGCAAAATGTTTGAATTTCACCTTTTTTCAGTCATCGGATTTAAACCCTCTTTGCTAAGCCAATCAATGAACGACAAGAATTCTTCACTACGTCAATTTCAATACTTGGAGTATGTATTATACTTTCTTATCTAAGATTAATCAGTGGACCTTTCGGTTTTCACGTCAATGACGTACAAAAGGTTGAGTGACAACACCCACTGCTGCTTTGTCACGCATATCATATCTGTCAGTTTGATGATGCATGAAGGTATTTATTTTAATCCTCGGTGGAGCATAATTATAAATATAGTTATAACGATAACTCAGTAGTCGATTACGGATAATTCCATTAAAATAAGGCAATTGAAAGTAAGTCTGGTGATATTAACACTAGACTTAATAAATGGGTATTCTTTGGGTACTTAAGGCATTCTTTTTACTGTAACTTGTGATTTTGAATGGAAAATAAATTAAATCAAATACAAATGTATAAACCTGAGGGGCCTACGAGGGCAGGGCAGTCAGACCACGGGATTTACCTCAATCCTCAGTAGAGGCCTACAACAGAAAAAAATACCATGCAGTCAAGCCTTCTTTTTACTACATGTGTAGCTAAGTATTATGCTTGCGTACAGTATAATGGTACACTAAATGATTGTAAATAAGTTGAGTTACAATGGTTAAATATACATGCATGCAACATCATCTTTAGATAGGGGCCTATATTTTCAATACTAGTGCTGACGTGTAACTTTATAAAGAGACTGGATTGTTCCATTTAATATGTAGGGATTCTTCAATTTTCAAATTGATTGTACAGTATTGTTATCGCTACCGCTATCCATGATCTTATTCGACAACATTTTTTCATCTACTGTTCTCCTTGCAATTTAATTATAAACATAGTTATAACGATAATAATTTAATTCGATTATGTATTTTTATGTAAGACTGTAGGAACCTTTACATTGAATGACAACGATAAGCTATTTTCATTATGTCACGTCAGTGGTGTCGCTGCCGTTTCAACAACAAATTATGCATATCCTGTCGGTTTGACCGGGCGTGGAAGAAGTATTTAATTATAAACGTCCAGGCCTATCATTATAAATATATTTATAACGGTAATACCACAATGGTTCGATTTATGGATATATAATGTACTACTGGACATTTAAATTTAATACTGATATAGCCTAGTGCTAGCAATCTGCTATGGTTGAACAAAGGATTAAATATTGGTAATGCATGGCATTGGGGTTCAACCATTGATACTGAACGTCAAAATTTTCATGAACAAATTCATTTATTTTCCAGACTTAATTATTATGTGACATTTAAATATAATTTTACAATCGAACTATACCTAATGCATATACAAAATTTTAATTATAGACGTATTCTCACTAAGTTGCGTTTAGGAGTCCTTGAATTAAAAATTGAAACTGGTAGATGGTCAAAAATTGATAAAAAAGATAGATTATGCAAACATTGTACATTAAATTTAGTTGAAGATGAGTACCATTTTACTTTAAATTGCCCTTGTTACACTGATATTCGTGAAGATTATATATTTAAGTATTTTATTGTTAATCCATCCAAAGTTAAGTTTACTCAATTAATGTCCACTACTGATATCAATACAATAAGTTGTTTATGTAAATTTCTTTATCACTCATTTAAACGTGGAAGTGATCATTCCCTCTGTAAATAGCAATTATATTTTATTTGGGCCGAAGGCCTTATATAAAAGATGAAATAAATGTCCTTGGCCAGTACATGCCAAGGAACGGAAACATTACTAAGGTTGCAATGATCCTAAATTGTTTTGATTTAAGTGTGCATTATATTTTCGAGCTCAAGACAGATTGATGGTCAACTAGTACCTCATTTATAAAGTCTGAGTCGTATTTATTATTATTATTATTATTATTATTATTATTATTATTATTATTATTATTATTATTATTATTATTATTATTATCATTTTATATACATTTGTATATTTTATGGATAAGTCAACAAATGAATCTTGAATCTTGAATCTCAACATCTCAATAGGAACGATACGTTTTTTGTAAAGTGCGCATGTGCAAACAAAAGGGGATTTCCCGTACATCGGCGGCCTTGCATCATCACGAGATTTGTATTTTGTTTTTATTGAGGTGCAAGCCTGCGTCGTTCAGCAACATGTTTCGAGGTAGAAAAGCTGAAGTTGTTCGTCACAATTGGTAA